CGTGTGTGTGTGTGTGTGTGTGTGTGTGTGTGTGTGTGTGTCAGTCTCAATGCCAGACAGACAGACAGACCTGTAATAAAGTGGCAGCTAGGAATCTTTCTGTGACGGACTCAGTCTACCCTGTAGCCTTGTAGCAAGTCGGACAGAGGGAGCTGAACGTGTGTGTGACTTCTACCATTTATCCCTTAACTCACACACCCTCGCGTGAACGTAGATGTGTTCTGGCTTCGAGGACAGTTGGAAATAGACAGATCTGTGAAGGTGTGCTAGCTTCTTGGGGTTTTTTTGTTGTTTTTTTTTCTTCTTTTCTGTTTTTTGGGGGTAAGTGTTTTACGGCGTTCGCAACTACATAAGGTCATAATATGAGCGAGTGAGACTCATTAAACTTTTTTTTTTCGGTTCATTGGAAATTTAGAATTTTACTTCGATGAGATTAGAAATAGACAGAATTGTCAAATAGACTGGTAGGTAGAGTGGGGTGTGTGGGTGGTAAGCGGGTGCTCTGGTGTGGTTTGCTTCTTCTTTCCTAAAAAAAAACAACTATCGTCCTTCTCTCTCTTCCTCCTTCTTTTTTATGTTTGTTACTCTCCTATAACACGTCATCTATTCTTCGGCACTTTTATAACCTTATTGTGTTGCGAGTGCCGTAAAACACTAACTAAAATAAAACAAAGAGTGGTGTGTGTATTTAATGTCTTATTTCGTCTACACACAGAGAGAGATAGGTGTGCTAGCCGCAAAGAGCTTATATTATACAGATAGAAGTGAGAAATAGACTAGTAGATAGAGTAGGGTGTCTATATTTTATTCCTTATCTCGTCTACACACAGTGATATATTATTCTGTCCTGGCTTCGATGAGGTTATAAACAGATACAGTTGGAAAATAGACTGGAAGAGTGGGGTGTTTATTTATTTGTCTACAGACAGAGAGAGAGAGAGAGAGAGAGAGAGAGAGAGAGAGAGAGAGAGAGAGAGAGAGAGAGAGATGTGCTAGCCTAGAGAAGGTTATAAACAGACAGTATTGTGAAACAGACTGGTAGAGTGGATGTCTATTTATTTCTTATTTCGTCTACACAGAGTGATGTGTGGGTGGTTAGCGGGTGGTCTGATGTAGTCTTGCTGCAAGTCGGATATATAGAATAATATTGTGAGATAGACCGGTAGATAGAGTGGGGCGTCTATTTAATTTCTCATCTTGTCTACACACATGCTGTGATAGGTGTGCTGTTAGCCTAAAGACGAGTCGGACAGACGTAAAACAGATAGCATACATGTTTATTTCCTTAACTCCTCTACACTAGCTGGTAAGATGACGGTGGTTTTGTTTTTGTTTTTATTTGTTTTTGTTTGTTTAATTTTGTTGTTGTTGATACGATAAAGGATAAAGCTTTTTAATGGACACATTTATTGTATATTTATTTTTTTGTTGATTCGATAAAGGATAATGCGCTTTTTTAAAATCGAGACATTTATTTGTCAGTTATCTAGTTATTTATTGAAACATTTACCAAATTATTATGAAAACATTTATAGGCTATCTTCAAAGCCTTTATCATATTTTTATGAAGACATTTCTAAGTTATTATTTTTTAAAAATTCAATCGCAATTAATATCTCGACTTCTATTCAAGATTTTTAAAATGTATTTATTTAATTAAAAGCAAAATTAAGATAACACCATCAACTGCTATGAGGCCAAAAATTGACGAGCGCCTGATTCCACCGCGTCGTGACACACAATAATATATGGGTGGCGTCTTTTCTTTTTTCTTCTTGTGTAGTTTGTATCTATTTATCCTGCTCTCTACATGCACCACATGACCTGTGCTAGATCTATTTCGATGTTCTTCACTTCACTCAAAAATAA